GTTTTTCTTGGGAAACAACCTTATCTTTTGGTTCAGTAAGAAGCAGAATTGTGTGTCTATCCACTGTTGAGGTTGAGTATATTGCAGCAGGAAACATTCGTTCTCAGCTACTGTGGATGTAGCAAATCCTGAAGGAGTACAATATCAAGCAGGATGTCATGACATTATACTATGACAACTTGAATGTTATCAACATCTCCAAAAATCCTGTTCACCATAGCAGGACAAAACATATTGACATTTGTCATCATTTTATCAGGGATCTTATTAAAGACAAAATAGTCATTCTGGAACATGTAGCCACTGAGAAGCAACTGATTGATATCTTTACCAAGGCTTTGGATGCAAATCAGTTTGATAAGCTAAGGGGTGAACTTAGAATTTTATTTTTTGAAGAATTATAGTCATTAGTCTTGATTATGGAGGATACTAGGCATAAGAGAAAGTTGGTGTCAAATTTATGCCTAAAAAGGGGAGTAACGGTGATGGTAGTGATGCCAGGGTTAACAGTGATACGAAAGGGAGATTGTCTCAAGTATTTCAGGGTGTGGAGCATGGGAATAATGATGATCCCTACTTTTCTATGTTTTCTTTTGTGTTGTTGGGAGGTCTTTGCTGGTGGTGTTAGGATGTCATTTTATGTTCTGACATCATTGCATCATGTGTGTGGGAGTTGTGTGGTTGTGTTCTTAAGGAGGAGCTTTATGATGAAGGGAGTTCTGATGATTTTGTGATGTCAGATAAGATGTCTTGACATTGTATTTAGTTTTGTTTGCTAAATTGATGACTATGCAATTTAGGGAGAGTTCTTGTTGTTTTGTGATGAAGTTTTTTGGGTCTTGCTGTGAGTTTTTTTCCGCTGTGTGTGCCTCCGATGTGTTTTGTGAATGTTCTTTTTGATTGTTGCTGTTATGATTGATTGTAGTTCTCCAGGTTTTCATACAAAGTTTATTTTAGCCAAAATTGGTCAAAGGGGGAGATTGTAAGTTCTGTGGTTTTGGATTGGCAGAAATTTTGTTAAAACAATTTTTAGCAAGATGTTGAGACAAATGTTGTGACAAGTTAGTCAGACAACATGATCAACATAATGTTGGGATATGTGGCTAGGACATGTTATACTAGAAGTTTAGGGCTGGGATGATTTGGTATTTAAAGTGTGAAATTTGATAGTTTTTTAATCCATACAGTGTCGTAATCCTAGGAGGAACATTTTAGGAACTTCTGTCTTGACAGATTTTCTTGTATTTCATAAAAATGATCTTTGAGCCTTTTTAGGAAACTTTCTATTCAGTTCCTATTTATGTGCAAAAGATCTTGCAGAAGATATGAAGCTGATGATTTGTGATTTGCGTTTTATTTAAATTGAAAAGCTCAAGCCCATGCTGATATGAAGGCTATTTAAAGAGGAGTTCTAAACCTAACGAAGTAGAAAAGCCGTGTATTGAAAGAAAGAGTTTTAAGATTTTGAGAGTTTTGTTATTTGTGATCCCCTCTTATGTCTTTTAACATCTGAGTTGGACTGTGTTGTTTGTGTATTTGTAACCATTTATGTACTCCTTAGATACTTGAATTGGATTGAGTTTTGAGTTGTAATTGTGAATTCACTCATAAGCTTTTAAGCAAAGAATGGATTATGTGTCTTTGAAGTGTGACTTCTTTTTGTTCTCTATTGTTGAGTTTGTCATTGTTGTGTGACTGGTGGGAAGTGAGAGGGGTCTCATATCTAGGAGTTCCTAGGTAGAAGTTAGCATGAATAATGATTAGGTGAGAAGCTTGTAAACCTGTGGGTGTTTGCTGTGACTTTGAACTAATACTATTATAGTGAGTTTCCTTCCTGACTTGGATGCCCCCAGATGTAGGTGATATTGCACCAAACTGGATTAACAATTGACTGTGTTATTGTTTACATTCAAACTCTTATTTTTCTGCATAAGTGTTAGTTGCTATCATGATTCCAGTGTCCAAACATCTGTCTTAACATCTGATATTTGTGTGTCAGAATATAAGCTCCTATTCTCCTGAACTCTTATTTATATATAAAATTAAACTAAGTAATGATTACATGTCATGATTGTCATAGTTCTCTTTGACGAACTCTTTTTTTTATAGCAAAAATAAACATGTTGGAATCCTAATGGCTAATACACACTTTTGTCTTTTAATGTTGTTATTAAGTTATAATTGTTGAACTCATATTTGATAATGGATAAACAAATGGCAGGATCGATCCAACACAATTTGAGGCCTAAGACGATATTAGTTTGTAATATATATATATACCGATCCGCCTCTTGCTCACCCATATATATATTACAAACTAATGTCGTCTTAAGCCTCTAAACATTGAATCATTTTTCATCTTGTAAATTGACGCGAATATATATATATATATATATATATATACATGGGCGGTTTTAAGGCCCGGCCAGGTTGGGCATGTGCCCGGGCTCGGCCCCAAAATTTTGCCTTCTTTTATAAAAGAATATGAAAATTGCGGCGGTTAATAAGTGCTTTTATGGCGGTTAAAACCGCCACAATTAACGAAAATGCAGAAAAATAGTACTTTTAATAAAATTTCTCATGTCATAATATATATTAAATAAAACGGCGGTTTTTTTTTGTCGTTGATAATGGCAGTTTTAACCGCCGTAATTTAAACAATTTTCACAAATAAAACATAATTTTTTTTCTTTTTTTATGCAATTAAGCATACATTATATTAATTTTTTTATATGATAATATTTAGATTCAACTATATTACAAAAAGTGCAAAATTAAAATAAAGTTGCTATTTATGACCAAATTAACCAAAAACAAAAAATGAATACTTGAAAAAATAAAATTTAACATAAAAGTAGCTGCTACTAAAATTATAAAAAAAAAAACATGTATAGTATTGTAAAAAAGAAGAAGTAAAGAATAAATTTCATCTTCAAATAATATAAAAAATATATTAGGTCCAATTCTTCAATTTATGTTCACTCTAAATTATATAGTTCAAGTGATGTTAACTAGGAATTTGTATTTTAAATTTAGTTTGTAGTTACATAGTTAGTAAATAAAATTATGTTGTTAACTTGTTATTAATTTCAAGAATTATTATGAATCACATGAAATGATATTCCATGTTAATTTCAAGAATTATTATGTTAGTATCAACCTCAAATTGGATATGACTATGTTAGTTTTAAAATTATGCCGAAATCAATTAAATTAAAAATCTTTTATTTTGATTAATAACTATTTATATATACAATATGAATTTATTGTCTTTAAATTTTTGCCCGGGTTTCAAAAACTTGCTGGCTCCGCCACTATATATATATATATATATATATATATATATATATATATATATATATATATATATATATATATATATATATATATATATATATATATATATATATATATATATATATATATATATATATATATATTCGCGTCAATTTACAAGATGAAAGATGATTCAATGTTTAATGTCTTTAAGTAATATTTAATTTATATAATGAATTTTGAAATAGTGTTGATAATTCTCAAGTTTGTAAAATGTTATAAAAGAGTCAATGAGATCGTAGAATATTAAATAATAAATTTATTTTTATTATTAATTTAAATTAATCTAACTGAATTCAAAATGACAATGTTATTAATTTGTGTATCTCATTAAATTTTATTTTAAAATTTGTATACAAATTTAATATATTTTGGTATCATCTTTAATTTTTCATATATCTTAAGACTGTTTTGTATGTTTTTATTAATATATTTATTTTTATCAAATAAAAATTAATTTAATAATATAATATAATAAAACAATGAATCATTAATTTTTAATTCAATTTTTTTTCTTCATTTTGTATATATCAGTTAATATAACAATTAATTTATCAAACACTCAAATTGATTTATTAACTATCAGTCGTCAACTATAAACTATCAAATATTAACTATTATTATCATCGGTTATTCCCTCGTTTCCAAATTATAAGTTATTTGTCAAAAAAATTTGTCCTAAATTATTAATCATATTACATTCTTAATGCAATATTAATGACATTTATTTCAACATATCTTTAAGTATTTAATATTATTTATTTTTTTAATTTTTTTTTATAAAATTATGAGAGACATTACTGTAAAGTCATATATAATTTTTTTTAATAAAATAATAACTAAATCTCTTAATTCGTATGAAATGATTAAAATATTTTATAATTTAAAACAAAGAGAGTATCAATCATTGACTACTACTTATCACTTAATTTTATGAAGTAAAGTAAAAAACATACAAAATCAATTCATTAATCGTGAAAATAGGTATGAATAGTTGTGAAAATGAACATGAAATTTCGTACAAATTTAAAATATAAGGATGAAGAAGAAAATAATAATAATAATAATAACATAAAATGATAATTTCTACTATTATTTTTAATAATAATAATGTCATCATTCTATCTCTTACACATTAATAAATATTTAATAAAAACTTCGATATATGTGCCATGTGTAGCAATCAAAATTTCCGAACCCACGTTTAGCAATCAAAATATATTCCATCTTGTCAAAAAATATTATTAAATGATAGGTATGATAGAGCTGGAAATTTTCTTCTGTTAACAATATTATTTTACGAACGCCAGTACTAGTACAGACGAAGACAAAACCCAAAAACTAAAAACACGTTCGATCATACCACTAGCCACTCAAAAAATATCAACTCATTTTCAAGCGTCAGATTAAATCCCCAAATTTTCGTCGCTTATCTATCTTTTCCCCCTAACCAATCAACAATGCTTATCTCGCTTCAACAAACAACTTGTTAGCACACTTCACTCTTCACAGTGTTTAACGCCGCCATCACAATCACCACCGCCGCCACAAAACTCAACGTCGTCACGGATTCACATAAACCTTGTGTTGTTTTAATTATTATATTCATTAATCAAATGCTCTCGTAACGAAACAAAACGATACAAAGTTAGTAACTGATTACGATGGAGATTTCGTTGCATTTTAGATGTAGAATGGCGTTCCCTAATAGAGGCGGTTGTTTGAATTTGAACCTCGCTCCATTTTCTGCTTTAGCTTCTGTAAGTAGCTTTTAATTCTTAATCCTATTTATGATTTGTTCTTTTTTAATTGGATTAGATTTTTTAATTTATTTAATGTTTGGTTAATTTTTTTCAGTCTTCGTGGGGCAAAGCAAGTAGAGGAGTTTCTTGTGTTAATGCTAGTTCAGGTTTTTTTATTTTTTAAATTTATTTATGCTATGATTGTTTCTTCAAGTTTATGATTTAATTTTTCTATAGCTAGGTTTTTATTTTTATTTTTTATACTTTTGTAGATTTTTCTAGGAAAAGACAACAAAAGAAGGGTTCAATTTCGAAGTCAAAGGGGTCTGGTAAGGGTTTTGTACCAAAATCATCTATTGGATCAAGTAGTAAGAAAAATGCTAGAGTGAAGAAAGGAGAACAAACACTTGATGTTAGTGTTGAGGATGATAAAGATGGGGAAGTTGAGTTTTCCGTTGAGGAGAAGCTTGCGATTGTTGGTAAAACTAGTGAAATTGATAGGGAGTTCGGGGACTTGTCTTTGATAGATGAGACACTGGGTGTTGTTGAGAGTAATCGAGGTGAGGGAATTGAAAGCATTCATATTGGTAAGGATGTCGATGATGTTCAACTAAGTGAGGAGGAAGTTTCTTATATCGGAGACAATGGGAATGGTAAGGGTACAGGTGCTGGTACTGATGGTGGTATAATAAATGAGGAAGCTTCTCGGATGTTGAAATTGAAGTTGGAAGAAAATTTGCGAAAGCAGGAAATAGAGAGGATTGCGGAGGAAAACTTTTTACGAGGGACACAGATGTTTGTATATCCTCCTGTGGTTAAGCCTGATCAAGATATAGAAGTGTTTTTTAATAAGAACCTTTCAACACTAAGAGATGAACAAGATATTTTGATCATGGGGGCATTTAATGATTGGAAGTGGAAATCTTTTACAATCAGATTGAATAAAGCAGATCTTAAGGATAATTGGTGGAGTTGCCAATTGTATGTGCCACTAGAAGCCTACAAATTAGACTTTGTGTTCTTCAATGGAGAGAGTGTTTATGACAATAATGACCAGAAAGATTTCTGTATACCGGTTCAAGGTGGAATGGATGTATTGGCATTCGAAGAATTTTTGCTTGAGGAGAAACGTAAAGAACTAGAAAAGCTTGCTAAGGAGCAAGCTGAAAGGGAAAGAATTGCGGAAGAGCAAAGGCAGATAGAAGCAGACATAGCTGAAAAGGAAGAGGATAGGTTACAGGCAAGGTTAGAGGTTGATAGGAGGCAAGAAACGGTGCTGCGGTTGATGAAAAATGCCGTAAAATCTAATGATAATGTTTGGTATATTGAACCTAATGAGTTTAAAGGCAAGGACTTGGTCAGATTATATTACAATGGAAGCTCAGGTCCTCTTCAACATGCTAAGGAAATATGGATTCATGGTGGGCACAACAATTGGAAGGATGGATTATCAATTGTTGAAAGGCTTGTCAAATCTGTCTTGAAAGGCGGTGCTTGGTGGTATGCCGACGGTATGCTCTTCTAAACAGCTATGCCTAATCTTTGATTTTATTTCATTTCCTCAAAACTATTCTTTTAATGGGTAGTAAGTGTCTGAATAAATAAAATCAGTACCATGATATAACTTGCACATTATACATCAGAAAAATCAGAATTGAAGTCAATTGATTTGCCATGTACATCTTTTATTTAAACATTAAAAGGTTTTAGATTTCAGAGACTGGGATATCTGTTTTAGATCCATCATCATGTTTAATAACTGGGAGAAATTTTGAACTTCAAAAGTTACAAAACTACAAATAAATTCTTATTTCATGCTACTTGTTAACATGGATTTGTACTGTGTGCACATCTGTTTGCCTGGCATTTCATAGAGAGGGAGAGACAAATTTCCCTTGCGAAACATTAAATGTTTACTTTTAGACTAGGGTTGCACTCATCTCATCAACTCTTCAAGCAGTTCTAGATCAATGTCTGCTTGATTGTCAGCAAAAGCATACAAGTCCAGAAGGCGGATAAAAAGTCAATCTTTTCTTTTGTACTTATTTGAAGTATAAAACACTTATTTTTTCTTATCAATTTTCTGTTTTATGCAGTTGTTGTACCTGACCAAGCTCTTGTCCTCGATTGGGTCTTTGCTGATGGTCCACCTCAAAATGCAGTTGTGTATGATAACAACCATAAGCTAGATTTCCATGCCATTGTTCCTATGGCTGCACCTGACACACGGTATTGGGTCGAGGAAGAGCAACTTATATACCAAAAACTTCAAGAGGAGAGGAGATTGAGGAAGGAAGCTATACGTGCAAAGGTATGTTCTTGTCTGTGATTACTTCCAAGTGGTAGTATTTATAGGGCATACCCCAAGTCCCCCATTTGAAATGAGATAAGGCTTGAGAATAATTTATATAGAGTGACACCCCACCTTACAAATTGGTTTCGTAAGGATGAGTAGGCCCTATATATAAACCTAATAGCATTTTAAAACTGTTTTTGTTCTTTCTTGTATCCCTTAATGTACCAGAAAGATAGTAGGAGCATAGTCTTGTAGAGAAAACCCTCTTCAAGTTGGTCCTCCAAACTTATGTCACTACTTTAATTATCCAATAAAGTTTAGCTGGCAAATTAGTTTCTTAACTTTAAAACATCACTGCATCATTCTTCATAAGTTTATGTCATCAAATTAGCCTTTGAAACTTAACTGTTTTGATCTTCTCAAGCATACGTATTTTGTGATTTCTCATATTTATTGGGAAGGTAGCCAGTGTGCTGACAAGATTGCTTCCCTTGGTCTGAATTGTTCTAGTTTCACTTGGTGGGAGCGAGTTCCTAATGATGTTTTTGAAGTTTACAATCCTAATAGGTTTGGTCTTTCTGAGTTTAGATTTAGGCAATGATTATTTCTTGTATTCAAACTACACTCTTCTTCCTTCATCAAGGTTTTATTTTATCCTATTGGGTTTTCCTTGATAAGATTTTTAATGAGGCAATTGGTCAATCATTTTGGTCTACATTGTTGTTAGTTTTGGCCTAGTCGCCCCAAATTTTTTATTTTTTCTTCTTACTTTACTAATATTTGGTTAGAGTTTAGCAGTTTGGGTTTGGGTGTGACTGCAGAGGTGTCTGGGATGCTTGTTCCTTCATCTTGTGCTTAAAAAAATAGTCTCAGAAATATCTTAATCGAAGTAGCGACACAAAATGATTAACTTGGTTATATACAAAGTGATGAATTTGGTGATGAAGTAAACCTTTGAGGGACTTATTTGGTGATTTTTTTTGTAAGACTAATGTGGTTAAAGTCTTAGATCTTTAAAAAATTAATTTGGTGACAAATTATTGGAGGACTAATGTGATGATGACACACGTTGACAATCAACATAAAACTTTGATGAATGAGTTTTATAATATTATATAGTGACTTTGGAGGACCAACTTGAGGGTTTGGTTTTATGATGTATAATCATTAATACATTAGTTCACCTTTTTTACTTTGGTTAGGTTGATAGTTGAAATTCATTTGATGAGAGTGTGTTCTAGATTGATCCCTTTAACTGTTTGGCTAAATTCTATTTTTTACACTTCATTACCAAGAAAAAAGATCAAAAGATATTAAAGTTATTAAATACTCATCTTGTTTATTTGGTTCTGTTAATGTTTCAGGCTGAAAAAACAGCACTAATGAAAGTCGAAACAAAGGAAAAAACTTTGAAAAGATTTTTGCTATCTCAAAAACATATCGTCTTTACCGAGCCTCTTGATGTTCAAGCAGGGAGTACAGTGACAGTGTTTTATAACCCCTCAAACACAATTCTGAATGGAAAACCTGAGGTTTGGTTTAGAGGCTCATTTAATCGCTGGTCTCATCGTAATGGTCCATTGCCACCTCAGAGAATGTTGCCTGCAGAGAATGGCACACATGTCAAAGCCTCTGGTTAGTCTCTTCCTTTGTTTACACTTGAATAATGCCTGTACCATAGGATCAAGGATTTTAATGTCCCTTTGGTTGTTCAAATTTTTTTAATTCTATTTTCAGATTTTAGTTAGAGGGTATTATTTCTAAAATATTACCTGTCTTCAGATATATTATGTTATGACTTTGGATGTTATCACCATGTATGTGTGCTAATCTGGTTAGCAGATTAATTGTGTTAAAGGAGACAAAAAATGACAGCGTCTGTCCAGGCTCTAAAGCCATCAGATTGCATTTGAATTTGTGCGTAGAAACCTTGACGTGAGGCTGCATGGATTTAGAGATCATCAAGATACCCGTGTATTCACACATGAGCGTAGATTTTTGCTTGATAGATAAGGTTGATATTATATAAGCTTGACATTATAAAAATAATGAAGTCATTTGTTGAATGTCAAAGTAATTATTATAGTACTCAAATAAACCAATAGCAATGCATATTTTTTTTTCTCAAATTGAATTAAAATACTAATTTATTATGTTACGGTAGACAACATAGAAATAAAATATTTAAAAATTTGTTACTAATATTTTAAAGATATTTAAGTGACAAAATACTAATATTTATTTTAACTAATCAATTCGTGAATGACCTCTTTTTCTATTGTTATTTTATTTTAATAATTGACATGTCAAATCATTTGTCTATTGTATGGTTTATATAGTAAAATTATATTTAGGGTATTATAGTTTTCTTCAAAATTTTAGCTAGACGATGTTCAAGAGACACTACTAATAAAACACATTTGTCTTGTGTAAGTTTTTTAGTGTAAATTATAATTAACTAATATATTACTACTTTACTCACAAGTTATATCTAAAATATATTCAAGACATACACTAATAATAAAATACAAATACTTTTTTGAGCTAATTGATCAATGACAAGTATTTGTCCCGAGTATGATTTGTATAATAAACTGTAATTAATATACAATTACATTTTTTACATTTTATGTAGAAAATATTTAAGAGATACACTAATATACATTTCTCTTTTAAGTAACTATGAGTGACAAGTATTTTTTTCGTGTAAGATTTGTACAGTAAATTATAATTAATATATTATAACTTTGCTTGCAATTTTATAATTTAATATATATTCAAGAGATACACTAATAATAAAATACACATTCCTTTTTGAGCCAATTGATCAATGACAAATATGTGTTCTGTATATGATTTGTATAATAAATTTTATTAATAAATTTTATTAATAAATTTTCTTACAGTTTTATCCCATTCCGCTCCTTAACTCCCCCACTCCAACCACCAAGCCATCTATATATTCCCCAGTCCTCTGTCAACTAATTATCATTGACACAATTTTTTGTGTATGGTTTGTTCAGTAAATTATAGTTATAACATATTATAATTTTCTTGAATTTATTATTGAGATATCTGCAAGAGATGCACTAATAATTTTTATAGTCATCTTTTAAATAATTGACCAGTGACAATTTTTTGTTCTGAGCTTAAATTTTTGCGCGTTTCTTGTTTATACCTTCCTTTTTTAATGAAGTAAATCAACCGAGTTTCCCAACCATTTTTACACGTGGTAAAGAGAAAGTGGATAGACACCGCCTTTTACTTTTCAATAAGAAAATTTAACTGTATGTAGGAAAAATGTGTTGGAAGAAATGCCAGTTATAACCCATATTTTTATGACATGTGAAAAAAAGAAAGGGGAGATATGCATTTTTCCTGGATACTGATTATTATGGATAGATAGTAGATTATGTTGAACTTCTGCAAATGTTTATATTTTTCTTTCTTTACCTACAATCAACCTTTGTGTATTCCAAGCTGTAGGCTGGCCTAAGATTTGAGTGCTGTAAGAAAGCTGCAGAATTTATCATCTATATCACTTATTGTTGCATGTAGATTTCATGTTCACGGATTGTGTATAATGGATTAGAAATAGCTTTTCATAATAGATAAGAAATAGCGTTTCATAAATAGCTTTTCATGATGGACAATTTTACTATACTTTTGCAAATTTGGCATTATTCAACTTGACACAGTGTAATAACATTGTTCTAACAAGGAAATCTGGAAGAAGCTTGATGGTTTTATGTATGTGCAGTTAAAGTTCCACTGGATGCATACATGATGGACTTTGTGTTCTCTGAGAGTGAAAATGGTGGAATTTTTGATAACAGATTTGGAATGGATTACCACATACCTGTTTTTGGTGGTATTGTAAAGGAACCTCCTTTGCATATCATTCATATTGCAGTTGAGATGGCCCCTATTGCAAAGGTAAGCTAATCTATTTGCTTGGAGCATTAAATCGGTTATTTTATGAAATCATAAACTTTAAAAAGGTTGCCATATCTATAGCTGATCTTCAATTTTGAGATTTCCACATCCCAATTTTTTTCTTACACTATGATCTCTTGTTCCGCTTGTTATGCATGCTAACATTTCTGTTTTAAGAAGGTTGTTCATTGTTATTATAATCTCTCCAAAAAAAGAGAATGGTAAGAGATAATACATGAAGAAAGAGAAAGAGTAGAAAGGGAGGAGACATGCAAATACTGTAATGGGATACGCTGACCCTCATTTATATTACTAGGTTAAGAGAGAAGTACCAGTGTAGTGCATAATAAGGACAAGTGGGCCGAGCCCATATACGTAACTTATTACAATAACTTTTAGTAATCCCTCTCAAGGTCAAGCATAGATATTAAATCATTTCCAATTTGTTACAAACTAGTTGAACCTGCCCTAACATTGGAAGCAGATATAAGATTCTGGTTAACCTTCTCTTCAATGAAGTGACAATCTACTTCACTGTTTTATTCTTTCATGAAAACCTGATGTTATGTGTATGGCATCCTGGTTATCGCACAACAAATTTATAGGACAAATATAGCCAAATCCCATCTAATCCATGATATGTCTTGCCCATATTAATTCAAAAGTATTTTGACTTGTAGGCCTGTATTCTGCATATGCACTAGATTTTGTCACCGCATTTTGTTTTTTACTTCCGAAAAATATAATATCCTGTGGTAGACATACAGTCCTTAGGAGATCCTGCACGATCTGAAAAAAACCCACCTGCATATGCCCATGATATTGTTTACAGGATCAGTATTTTTTTCTATATTTTTTCCTCTGTATCATTCAGAATCAAGTGAATATTGTCTTCACTTCTCTGCACTTCACAATGCGAAATAGTGTTTCCCAATGAGTAGTAGGAAAAGACATAAGCTGACTTACAACACTTATTGGAAAAGCAAGGTCAGGTCTAATGACTCTGATAATTCAGTTTCTCCACCAATCTTCTTCAGTTTTTGTAGGTCAGAGAAATGAGCTCCATTTGCTGTCAATTTAACTCCGGGCTCCATAAGAGTGCTCCCTCCTTTGAATACATAACTTTAATTCTCAATAAATTCTTCAGACTCCTAAATCTTTAGTCTAAAACTTGGTACGAGAAAAATCTTCAGTTTGTCAATTCTCTTGTTATCATTTCCTGTAATTATAATATCATCAACATTCACCACAATTAAGGTACTTCCTGTATTATTTCGTAAACTCTGTTTTCTTATACTTAGGAAAGTGTAATGTGCTTCCAAGGCTTGTATCCCTATGTCTAACTTTCCATTTATTTCTTTTCTCGACTCTCCAATTAAGACTATCATTTGCTAAAAGCATGAACTATGGCACCGTCTCTTGGATGTTTAGTATGCATGCGTAAAATTAAGTAAAAAAATAATGGGTCAATATTAATCTTGAGAGGAAACCGATAGGGAAGTTTTTTATATACCTACCTTATCTTAATGTAAGCAATGTGGGGAGATTCCTACAAAACAAATTTGCTTAATTATATTTATATCTGCACATAGCTTGGCTGCTTCTAAAGGATAAATTTTTCCTTTCATGAGATGATATCACAAACTGGTTGGTACTTGTTATTTAATGCAGAGAACATTTGTTAGTTATTTTAACCTATTTTTTCTGATTCTGATGTTCATATTTGGAAGGTTGGAGGCCTCGGCGATGTTGTTACTAGTCTATCCCGAGCTATTCAAGACTTAAATCACAATGTGGATATCATTCTTCCAAAGTATGATTGCATGAATCTTAGCAATGTAAGCTTTTTTTTTATCAGCTACTCTGCATTAGATATTTAATGTATGTTCATTAATTCAGAGTTTTCTGGTATCTCCTTAACTCTATTGAATACATAATGATTTTGTGATTATAAAAAATGATATAGTTTGAGTTTCAACATGAAACTTGTTGATAATCAAATTGGCGGGAAATTCAAGTATTGTTTGACTTGCATCTGCAGGAAATGCATGGCTTGTAGTGAACATTTCTTAATATTTGGCTGTTGTGAGCGCCTGCATCAGTGGCTCATAAAATAGCTATTATTGAGCATTTAACATTTTGCTGAAAAAAATGCATATTTCTTGTTTTTGTTTTAGTTAATATTATTCTTATTTCTTGAACAAATGGCTTCTGATGCAGGTAAAGGACTTTCAATTTCACAAAAGCTATTTGTGGGGTAGGACTGAAATAAAAGTATGGCACGGAAAGGTCGAGGGCCTCTCTGTCTACTTTTTGGAGCCTCAGAATGGGTACAGACTTTGGTTCTCAATCTTTTTCTTACAAACTGAAAAATAAGTGCTCCTCTTATATCAGGGCAGTATATTTTCTTTTGAAATGAAGTACTTCTTTAACATCAATTTTCTAGGTTTGAGCTATACCATGTTGAGACAGAATGTAAGAAAAATTACCTCTTTCACATCAACTTCAAAGCTATATATGCATTATAATTATTTTCAACTGTTATTTCCAAATCCAGAAGTGTATATTTTTAAATCACGTGTGCACTATTTTCTTTCTTTGTTTGTTATTTTTGGGGGTAACTTTATTTTTAGTCTTTAGGAACAATGCCATTAAGTAGACTTGAAAAACTAAAATACTTCATAAATCAAACTATGCTTTACAAATTAATATATATTTCTTGCAGGTTCTTTTCAGTTGGCTGTGTGTATGGTCGTGCAAATGATGGAGAGAGATTTGGTTTTTTTTGTCATGCCGCTCTTGAATTTCTTCTCCAAAATGGATTTAATCCTGTAAGGCATACAGTTTAATTAGTGATTATTAAGTTTTTTATTTTTGAAAAAAAGTGCTAATTCATTAATTTTCACAATACATTTTCTTTCCCTGACATGGGTGAAACTTATAGTGCTAAGTTATTATTCTCTTTTTCAGAAAGTTGAAATGACAACGATAAATTTCTGTCCATATTTTATTTCGGGGGGGTACAATGTCCCTATTTTTTACAGATTAACTAGATTGATATTATATTTTATTCATATTTACATTGTTGATTGATTGCATAACTGCACACATGTATAATTTTGTGACAAAACATCCTATCCATAACATTACCGATAACATTACACGAGAAAAAAAAACTGCTTTCAGCATATCATTCTAAATATGGAAGCATCAGAAACCACCTTTCTAAGTCTCAGCTCTCTTGGTGTATTTCTCATTCAGATTTTATTTACATTACATTCATAGAAATTTTCTTATGAACTTAGGTTTAACAATGCATATGATCACAAGTTCTTGGAAGAAAAAGCATATGAATTTAATCAGTTGTCTCGAAGGATATATTGTAATTTGCTCTTACCAATGGACAGGATATCATTCACTGCCATGACTGGTCAAGTGCTCCAGTTGCATGGCTATTTAAAGAACAGTATACACATTATGGCCTTAGTAAGGCTCGAGCAGTCTTCACAATTCATAACCTTGAATTTGGAGCCCCTTTAATTGGAAAAGCTATGGCATTTGCAGACAAGGCAACAACTGTAAGTGCTGCTTATGACCTAAATTTGTCAATTTCCTTATAAACTTTCAAACAGTATTTTATTATCCCTAAAGCTTAAGTTGTTTGGTTAAAGCGTATGGATGGTTTTTTGCTTCACATTTCTGGCAGCCCCCCTCTCATAAAAACCCTTTGAGGCTTAAATTGTGGACAATGTGCATGACTACTTACTGTGTGCTAAAATTCAATATGCCCCAAATGTAGCTCTTGCGAACTTCAAAGTTATGCAATTCTTGTCAAGAATTTGATCGGACCTCCTTTGTCATCTGCATGCTTAAAATCTATTTTCAAACAAATACGTTCTCTTTAGAATATGATGTTGTAAAATTGCAAAATCAAATAGAGTTATGGATGTTAAACAGCTATTTAAAAGAAGAAGCAATTGTGGTATTTTGCATCTTTATCATATTCTGATTTTCTATTATTTAATATTTATGCATTTTGATTATACATGCTTTCAGGTCTCCCCCACTTATTCAAAGGAGGTTGCTGGGAATCCTGCAATTGCTCCTCATCTTTACAAGTTTAATGGTATAATTAATGGAATCGATCCAGATATATGGGACCCATATAATGATAACTTCATTCCTGTAAGTTGGTATATGCCCAAATCTTTCATTATCTTCTCTTGAACATCTACAATGTCAATGGCATGTACGTAATTATCAAATTCGCAAGTTATACACTGGTAACTGCTTGAGATCCAATGCCTACATAAGTTGTACAACTCAAATGGGAAAAAAAGGCTGACAAACCGATTTGCCTTCGCTTTTTACTTCCAATGGACACGACACAGTAATGAATCATGACCGGCTCCATCCTTTATCAGTTCTTATCTATGCCCCTAAGATAAAGCAACTGATTAGGGTGAAGATACTTGCATCCTTTATTCTATAACTTTGTGATGGGGGCACAACTGCACACATTTTCCCTTCCAAGTTTAACATAAAAAAACTTAAACCAGACCTCTCCAATTCACAAATGTAACAGATTCATTATGCAGTTGAGTTCTGTAATGAGTGCAATGAGTCAGTAGTACTGTAGTACCACTTTGTTACCCCCAGTAACTGTACCTGTAGTTTCATATATACAAGTCATTTTTATTTTCTATTAAATTTGTTATGACTAGCTCCCATATCACATTATTCCAGGTACCGTACACATCAGAAAATGTTGTGGAAGGAAAAAGAGCTGCCAAGGAAGCCTTGCAAAAAAAGCTTGGTTTAAAAACAGCTGATCTTCCTTTAGTAGGAGTTATTACTCGATTGACTCATCAAAAAGGGATACATCTCATCAAACATGCCATATGGCGTACCCTAGAACGTGGTGGACAGGTCTTTCTTTTTTCTATTTTACATCAATTAGCACTAGCAACACCTATTAGGGCTCAAAAGAAAACAGTGACTATTCTCATACCATGCCATAGTAACTGAATAATGGCAGAAAGTCCCGTAGTATAAGCACAGAAGTAGAACGAATTGAAAACATTTCAATTTCAATTTTTATTATTGTTAAGAGTCCCATATCGGATAATATATGGCCTGAACATGTGTTTATCAATTATAAGTGGGGATAGTCCTCACTCTACCAACCAGTTTAAACCAGTTTTGTAGGGTTGAGTTAGACCCAACCACATTTCTTGACAAGGTATCAGAGTCTCGTTTAAGATCCGGTGGGCCATCTACTATGGTTTCTGCTATCGAGCCACCCACCATTTATTTCCACGCTCCAGTTGTCTAGTCCTGAGCGTGAGGGGGTGTGTTAAGAGTCCCACATCGGATAACATATGACCTGAACATGTGTTTATAAATTATAAGTGGGGATAGTCCTCACTCTATCAACCGGTTTAAACCGATTTTGTAGGGTTGAGTTAGGCCCAACCACATTTCTTGACAATTATAATCCTAAAACTCATTCTTGTTGCTATACTTGATAGTTGGTACTTCATAGTGTAAGCTTTTAGGCTGACTGGTTCTTTGACAACCGATATGGTATTAAATCTTTGACTAAGTTGTTTTGAACTTAATCCCATCACCCTTGTATTGGAGATAAGCAGCATGTTTTTGGCTGCCACTTAGCAGTTTTAGGTTTTACATGGAATAGCTTAACAGAAGTAACTGGAACGTATGTATGTATGATATCTTAGACTTGGAAGCCACCTCTTCCCTATATACTTTTCAAAAGGAAGATTTATGCTTCATGTAGTTGCTATTGATATTCATTATAAGCCAAGTGTAACGTTGCATTGAAGCAGGTGTCTTGACTGAGAAAAGATTTGAATGCAGGTGGTGTTACTTGGTTCGGCTCCTGATCCCCGCATCCAAAATGATTTTGTGCATTTGGCTAATCAACTGCATTCTTCTCATAATGATCGGGCAAGACTTTGCCTTGCATATGATGAACCTCTTTCCCACTTGGTAAGTTTTTAAACTTAAAAAGCTTTGATTGCATTTTATCTATTATATCTGCAAGTACTAAACTCAACGGGGTGTTACTGACTCAATTGTTATTATTTTTTATTTTTTAAATTCTAGATATATGCCGCTGCTGATTTCATTCTTGTTCCTTCAATCTTTGAGCCATGTGGACTCACTCAACTCACAGCTATGAGATATGGTTCAATACCTATTGTTCGAAAAACTGGAGGTTTGTACATACTTTATAGTTAGCCACCGATATAATTTAAACTTAAATGATCTTGTTGATTTTCTGACTTTGAATAGTACTGAGTTGATCATTAACCATGTACTTTTTAATATGGAATGTTGCGATGTTTCAATTTATTTTGTTCATCAATTTAGTTCTGCTCAGTTGACTTTCATCTTGCTTTTATTTTGCAGGACTTTACGATACAGTATTTGATGTTGATCATGATAAGGATAGGGCCCAAGCCCAAGATCTTGAACCAAATGGATTCAGTTTCGATGGAGCTGATGTAGGTGGTGTTGAGTATGCTCTTAATAGGTCAGTAATGTGTCACACGATGAGCCCCCATTATTTCATGAAAAACTCAATGTGCAAATAACATCCAAAAATTAAGAAAATGAAAAATTGTTTATTTGGAAATTGGAATACATGATCTATTGAAACAGTTGTTGTCAGCTGAATTTCTTGCATTGGAACTTTCATGTGGAGTGAAGTGTTGGGAGTGGTTATGGCATACATAAAGGAAACAAGAAACATTATACTTGCATCTTTTGTTTTTCAACTGTTGTCTTCTTACTTGCTCACATTGTTGCCACACATGGCCATCCGTGTTTATCTTTTATAATGTTTCTAAGTGCAAGATTAATACTATGGACTTTTTCAGGGCAATATCCACGTGGTATGATGGCCGTGAGTGGTTCAATAAATTGTGCAAGACGGTAATGGAGCAAGACTGGTCTTGGAATCGGCCTGCTCTGGACTACTTAGAGCTTTACCATGCAGCACGGAAGTTGGAATGAGGTTTTAATGACCAGAAAGCGGTGAAAATTAGGATTCGTCCCCGTTGTACAGCTTAGTCTAAAGCATAATTAGTGCACATAGTGAAAAGATAGCAGCAAAGCAATAATGTAGGTAAGCATTACATAGTTTTAGGAAGTATTACCCGTAATGCTTGAGATGAAAATGTTTTTTTGATGAGAGTAGTTGTACAAGAGAAGCAAGCATATGATTAAAGAACTTTCAAATAAAACAACATAATTTGTTAAGATGTAATAAATTAACAGATCGAGTAAATTTATATTGGGGACGTGTTATCCAAATGAAATAGTTTTGGTTCTAGTTCTTCACTATTTGTTGGCCATTATTTTGAAACGGAAAAGAGTTACTATTTTGACAAATATTTTTTGTTTGCATAAAGATTCTACGTGCGAGGTGGCTGGCTGGCTGCTGGCCAAGGACAATGGTGGCAACGGAACATTGCTTTTGAAATAACATCTTTGAAAATAATGGTCACTTAAAATTTTAAGAGAATTTTCTATGGCACCCTGAATGTTTCTAATGTGCTATGTAAATTTTCACAAATACCTTCTATTTTAGATATGCATTTTGGAATATACTCTAGCACACACTCAATAAAGATCATTCTGAATTACGTCTTTATTTTTAGTTTAATTTATTTTAGAGATGCATCTACAGAATAATTTCATAGTTACATCTCTAGAGTCACGTCAATATTAGATTCAACATAGAAGTACTTTTGCAAAATGAAATCGACATTCATAACATAAAATAAGCACTACAATGGTGATTTCAACATAAAATGCAATATTACATTTCAATATTTCGGTGAACTCTTGCACATCTTTATAATATCTTCCACTGATGTTTGTAGCGTTGCTTCCAACTTGAACGGAACCTTTGTTTTGAAACAGAAATACATATTCTACATAGTCCTAGCATCCGCTTGCGTCTTGAACTCAAATTTGCTGAACTCAATCTTTCTTTTGTTGTAAACCGACTGTGAACAGTACTCGAGCTTCACAATCTTTCGATTATCTCTATAAGGTAAGAGATGATGAATTTCGTTTTTAATATCTTCAAAGGAGGTGAAGTCGGTGAGCTTGAACGTTCGGTCGGGTGTAGAGCCGGAGAATGAGACATTTGTGACATACTAATAGATGTTTATTTGTGACGTTTGAGACATTTTCAGTTTGTGTGGAATATAACATTAGAGCACCTTAATTTATAGAAGTCATAGATCAATTTTAACCACACATTTACTGACATATTGATTTCGGAGATATATCATCGGACGACACCCTATTATCTTGTTTCGAAGATGCATATCTGGAACGAAACTCTATTATCTTGTTTCAGAGATGTATCTCTGGAACTTGTCCTGAACCAATTTCAAAACAGAACACTAAAAGATAACTTATTTTTTCATCGATAAAAACACAAATGTTGTTATGAGGACGATAAAAAATGTATAAAGACAAAAAATGAACAAAATGTGAATATATGACACTTTATTTATATTGAGACACAATTACATACAATTATTTGTCCGGTTAAACAAGAAATTAAAACGAATCGAAACATATGTTACCGACTAATTTATAGGTGGTACCCCCTTGGACTTTGTGCATATGATTCTTTTACAATGTTGTTCAATCTCTCAAATTCTTGCATCTTTTTCATAAAATAATTCAGCTACGTCTTGACTTTTGTGGTTGAATGAGTCGTCCACTCCGGTGATGTAAGTGGTATAGGGTATCCGGGTTTCAAGTAAACATGGACAAAATGACTTGATTTTGAAAGTCACCCAATACACATGATATGATCATTTAAATTTTGGAGTGGGCGGTGCACAGTGGGAAAAAGGTTTTTGAAAAAATCGTAGCGTGTCAGATCAATACACACTCTATCATACACACATGCTATTAGGTGACCCATTTCAGGGAAGTGAATCCATTTTGTCTCCGGTGCCAGACCGCTCAAGCAAGGAACAAGAGACCCATAAACCACATCAAGTTTTTCTTTCTTTCCGTACAACCATGTGTATGATTCTTTACGCGTCTTCAACTCTTGAATAAGTTGATGTTGGACAAGTGTATGATTATCTTTTTCTTTATCGAGTAAATATGAAACGGCTCGATAACCGCAATTACCGTCCCCCATAACATTGACGATCCGCTCGATATATTTGTGCATAAAAACCGACATCTCGTCGATGAATGAAATCTTTGGTGGAAGCAGCGTCGAAGGTGGTTTTCTAATGAGAACTCCGTTCACAACACTTTTTTGAGATTTTGGAGTTGCTGAGTTGGGAAAAAGTTGGTCAACATGTTCAAAATATGAAAGAGACTGTGTAGTCGAGTTGTCATTTGGTGTAGGCTTCATTTTCTTCTGAGCACCTTTTGTTTTTACCGGTTGAGAAGGAGTTTTCATGTTGGTGGTTTCAGGATAGAAAATCTTCCTCAATTGTTCTTTGATGTAGAGTTTCATGTTGTCATCAGTCTTCAAAGATCTCTCTTGTATCACTTTCCATTCAGCCAAAATAGAGATATTCGATTTACCGTCATCAATGCATCCATAATCATCAAACCTAAGTCTCTTCCAATGAGTGAAAACCTCGTTCATTCTTATTGGTTCACCAAGTTTCATTTTTTTAGCAATAACACAAGTACATGGGAGACCATATGTTTTTCACAATTGTGCATCCACACTTTGCGCTATCGGAGCCTACATTATCAGCTCGTTTAGCATCGTGAAAAATATAGTTCAAATCCGCCTGAGAAATATTATCAACCAACTGAGAATATAGAGTGTTGTCTTTAAATCTGTGCTCCAAAATTGTGATGCTCCGACCAAATGTTGTTTGCATCTCATTATACTGGTTTTGAATCATGTGGTTCACGGAGTACCAGTCTCTACACAAATTCCCCTTATTATTTTCCAACTAATTTTTCAAAGTAGCATGGGCAGAATCAACTTTGTTAGTTGTTGTATTTCTAAGGTGTCTAACATTGTCAGTCCACACACAAACTATCTTCTCCTTTCACCTTGTCAAGAATTGTGCTTTCAACATATTTCAACAAATATGGATACTTTTCATACACTTTTCTGAAATGAATAACAGACTCGACATATAGTTCATTTGTGGAAGAACTTGTTATACAATTTCATGCATCTATTATTTTTTTCACAACCACACCTGCCTTCACTATTTCTCCATCTGCGGACTCTATTTGTTTCATCTCTACCACAGGTTTAACCCGACTTCTCACATTCTTTGTTTTGTGACACCTACAAAGTAATGCATAAGAAGAAGGAAATACCTTTGCAATCAAATTCATCAATGCGGTATCGCGGTCGGTAACAATTGCTTTAGGCATCTCACCTTGGACCTTCAACAATGACCAACACATCTCTAATGCCTAAGTAAAATTGTCCTCTTTTTCAAACTCAAGAAATACAAAATCAACAAAATATATCTTCTTAGTTGAGGTAACACCAATCATCTCAAATAATGAAAATCTATACTTGTTGGCCTTGTTGGTTGAATCAAGTATGATCACCATAGACAACGTGTTGAACAACTTTATGGAATCAGGATGAGTCCAAAAAATATCTCTAACAGTAACTCCATCATCGCACGTTCGGTACCTAGACACGTAACTGTTATCATCCAACAGTTTCAAGAGTTGTTGCATCTCAATTCAATCCCCATTAAGCGCCTTGTTAGTGAGGTACCAAATATTATACACTTTCTTGATATTTGATATATTGTTGGGTCGTTACCATTTCAATGTTGCAAGTATATTGTTCGGTTGAACAAGATTTAAGATCATGTCAGCAACACAGTCCTTCTCTCCAGGCTTGAGCCAACATAAAAGGGGACAAGTTTAGTCAAATGCAATGTCCCAAAAATGATTTGGAATGAAAATAAAAAAGTGTCTATTCCCTATGCATCAGTGTTTGGGAGTTTGATGTAATCTTAAATATGTACCCGATCAGATACGAGTTTTGTTGTTGGTATTTTGGGTCGATATTAAAGTAATCTTAGAATGGATCACTGGAAAGCTGCAAAGAAGGTTCTTAGGTACTTACAAGACACCAAAGATTACATGCTCACATATAGAAGATTAGATTATGTTGAAGTGGTTGGCTACTCATATTCAGACTTTGCAGGATGTGTGGACTTAAGAAAATTCACATTTGGAGTATGTTTTTCTTCTAGCTGGACGAGCAATATCATGGAAGAGTGAAAAACATTTTATAGTTTCTAATTCTATTATAGAAGTGAAATTATGATGTGCTTTGAGGCCACAATTCAATCACCGTGGTTGAGAAACTTTAACTTAGGGCTTGGTATTGCCAATAGTATAACTATGACGTTAAGGATTTATTGTGATAATTTTGTAGCTATCTTCTTCTCTAAAAATGATAAGTATTCAAAAGACGTTAAACACATGAAATTGAAGTACTTAACAGTGAAAGAAGAAGTCCAGAAACAAATGGTGTCATTTGAACATATTGGTACAAATTTAATAATAGTCAATTTGTTAACTAAAAGTTTACCGCTCAAGACATTTGTTGGCCATGTAAAAATAACGTGCATTATGAAAAAGTCTTTATTAACATTATATATAAATAATAAAACTCAGCAGAAACATAACATTACTTAAATTTACAAGTGTCATACAATATTAACATTAAATTATATATATATATATATATATATATATATATATATATATATATATATATATATATATATATATATATATATATATATATATATATATATATATATATATATATATATATATATATATATATATATATATATATATATATATATATATATATATATATATATATATATATATATATATATATATATATATATATATATATATATATATATATATATATATATATATATATATATATATATATATATATATATATATATATATATATATATATATATATATATATAGGTGGCAAAACGAGTTGAGGCCCGCGCACCCGCCATAAAATAGTGGGTTGAGTTGGGATTTTGGGCCCGTCGCCCACCAAAGCACGCCCTGCTAAAGATCGCCACCCGCCAAAGCCCGTCCGGTCAAAATCCGCCGCTCCTGGAAACCCGACGCACCTATTCGTTCAACTTGTTCCACCTTAAACCTGCTATTTTTTTTAGTTAATTCTAGTAATTCCAATTATTGATGATTTTATTTTATACATTTATTTGAGAATATATGCAATATTTAAAATTTGTTAAAAAGAGACTTTATAAAAATTGTTCTTAAAAATAAGTGAAAAATCTAATTGAAATGTAAAAACAAGTCTATTAATCTAATAAATAAATAAATAAATGTCCGTCAACCCACCACCTTGGCGGGACGAGTTAGATTTTTATGCTCATTTTCACTTAGTGGACTTGCCCGCCTTTATTTTTGGCGGATTTAAGGCAAGGTGGGGCTGAGCGGGTGACCCTTTTTGCGAATGATATATATATATATATATATATATATATATATATATATATATATATATATATATATATATATATATATATATATATATATATATATATATATATATATATATATATATATATATATATATATATATATATATATATATATTTATATTTAAAGTTAATTTGTAAATTCAATTAATGCTATATTTCTGCTGAATTTCGCTGTCTATATTATGTTGTTTATGTTATTGTTAATATGTGATGACAATGATATCTTTGAAGAGATATGAAGACACATTATTGTATTCTTTAAAGTTATTTGAATTAGATTGATTCATGATACAATGGTATCTTTGAAGAGACATGAAGACACATTATTGTATTCTTTAAAATTATTTGAATTAGATTGATTTGTGATACATTGAAGGAACCTAGTTGATGGATAACTTGTGACTGCCATGATCCGATCACTTCATTTCATTAAAGATAAGGATTAGGTGCTTTCAATAAATGATGCACAATTATAGGATTGAAACATAAGTTTCACATGAGTCAAATGAGACACTCTTAAATTAATTTATTAATCCATCAAATGTGACTCATGTAAACAAAAATTTGAATTTAAATAAAAGATGTATTAATATGATAATTATTTGAGTTTGATGGATAATTAAGCCAATAAATTTTTTATTTAAAATAAAATTTAAATCTCTCTTTTCTTTCTTTCTTGACTACTTAGACATATACTCTTGGAAATTTGACGTGACTATTGAAATGAGATGCTATAAAATAGGCACTTTGAAGAAATCAATGTAAGACTTTTTTTCCATTCCTTCTTATTTCTCATAAACAAGATACTAAAATAGGCACCTTCAAGAAATCAATGTAGACTTTTTTTTCCATTCCTTTTTATTTCTCATAAACAAACAAAAGTATCATCATCAAATATGTAGCACTTTCAACTAGAAGCATTGAACAACTTTTTTTCTAAAGCAATCTTTGTGAGACACACACTACATACTCACCCAAAACCTTAAAGTGATAGGTGTATGGGTTCTCTCCCTTATAAGTGCTCAAGTCACCACATTTCTATCAAATGTGGGACTATTATCCACCCTACTCACACTTGTTAATACTTAACAAAATATACACAAGAATGAAGGAATAGAGGAGAAAAAAATTTAAATCAAAAAAAGAATGAAGAATAGAGGAGAAAAGAATTTAAATCAAAAAATCAAAAATCAAATAAGAATTGTCATCAAAGATCGAGATATATTTTTATTATTTCTCATAAAAATTAGATTAGTGTAAAAATAATAATATCAATATCTTAAAATGAATAACTCTTTGGTCTCATGTGATAAAAAAGTAGAAATTTACTTATTGGAATGTCAATTGATAGGGAAGCAAAAATGTTTATCCAAAATAAGGACTGCTTGTCACTATTCTCTCTTTAGCTTTTATATTCTATACCATATTGGGTGGTGGCCCCTGATTCTAATAAAAAAGGATGTCAGATTCTTCCTTTTCAAAAAGAAATAACCTTTTGATTCTACTTTGCACAATCTTGAGACCATAGTCACAAGAACAACAAGAGATACTAATAGACAAAAATACAATAATTGATTGTAAAAGCAAAAGCACATAAATCTATTCAAGAATATCCAAAGTTCTAGATAGGTTCATTGCATGGGATCTAAGTCATACAAAATGATGGATGATATCATAATGGTAACACCAAAATTTGAAACAAAAATACTCAATGAAGCCACTAAGTACTTAACTTAAAAAAAAAGCACTTAACTTAACTTAACTACTCAATGAAGCCAGTTTTGGTCAAAATAGCATTCCTAACTTTGCTAAGATCTCTTCCTTTGAGTGTCCTTCCCATCCCTTCACACACAGAGAAAGATGAAATCTGACTCCTTGCAAGCTTCCTAGCAATCCATTCATGAGGAGGAACCATATCACCCTCTTCATCATCCTCATCTTCATCATCACCATTCTTGCAATTTTTCTTACCATAAACTTTAGACCAATCAGGAATCTTCATAGGTGCTGACGATGATGACCCTTTCGCAAAAGGATCATCAGAAACTGCATTATTACCCTTTGGAATATTTTTTCTTGGTAATGTCCATGCAGATGAACCAGAACCAGAACTAGAACCAGAAGAAAAATCCTTATGATCCTTAGAGACCCTTTTGATATTTGAGGTATAATCACCCCAAACATCTTGTTCATCAAAATCTTGATCCTCTCTCTCACCAGTGGTTTTGTTCTTCAAAACAGTCCAATCTGCCATGGCAATGAAAAAGTGTGGTTGTGAAAAGTGTAGTGATGAAAATATTGTTTCCTATTTCAGCATATATAGATAGAGAGAACTGAAACTTTTCCACCTAATGACAGTGTGGTTTTGTAATGAGATAAAATAGACATCTTTTCCATTGGCATTGGGAATCAAAAAGCAGAAAGGTTCAAGAGAATAATATCAGGAATCTCCCTAGCTTTTCTTACAATGCCCTATAAATGGAAAAATTGTACTTTTTCTAAAAATGAATTTCCTTATTCAATTGCCAACTACTACAGCTTAGACATAAGAGACCAGACTAATTTTGAGAAAAGACAGATTTTATAGATAGTGCCATATCACTTGATAATCAATTAATATTATCTTAATTACCATCGATGTGGACATGTCATTAATTACTAGGTTTTGTGGTGTAAGTAATGAATAGAAAAAGCCAAGAGGTATAGTAAGTAATTATGTAAATTGGATAAGCCTGCATTATTGTTTGCACCAGAAAGTAGATGATATTATAGTAAAGAAAATGATGGGTCTGAGTGTGAATCTCAGTTCATAGTAACTACTACCTGTAAACAATGAAATGCAAGAGTCCAAAAAAAGGCACAGAGAAGAAGGAAGTGGGCACAATGGCATTGAGCAAGTCCCATCATAGCATAGGATAGACTATAGACTATAGAGCATAGTAATAGAGTTTCCAATTAAGAACAAGAAACAGAAGCACAAAAGTTTTCTCTCTTTTGTTTTTAACTTTCAATATCTTTTTCAAAAGCTGCATGGTGATTTGGTGTGGTGGTGAGAGACTATTGGCTTAAGGGTACCTCGCTAAATCCAAAACCTTATCTTCTTTCTGTACCATAGCTCGTTTTCAGCTGCCATACTTTCATGACATAAGTGCTTACCGAGTAAAAGCTACTTTCATTGGGTGATGGACGATGCTGTTGTTTTTCTATACATAACTTTGAGATTTGTAGCCAGATTTTCCTCATCAGATGACAGATAGATTTTCAAGTTTCAAATCCCATTGAGGGTGAATTCTATATAATGTATTTCAAAATTCCCTTTCAAAGTAAATATTTATAGTTCTCCAATCTCTTATGGGCAGTATATATATATATATATATATATATATATATATATATATATATATATATATATATATATATATATATATATATATATATATATATATATATATATATATATATATATATATATATATATATATATATATATATATATATATATATATATATATATATATATATATATCACATTTATTTATAAATGAGTCACACATTTACTTTATTATAAATTAATACGATGATATATCTTTATTTATATCATCAATTAAATCATATTTGATGTAATAAGATTAAAATGTCATTTATTAAAATCAATCAAGAATTTATAATATTATCAAAATGACAAATTAAAAATCATAATACTTTCAAAATCTATAATAGTAATACTATTAAATACTACTGGATATATCTGACTTTCTATTCTTTCTTTTCTTTTGTACTGCAATATCGTTCGTACTTAGATAGAATGACATCTATTGTGGCTCCTAATAACTCGGAAAAGTATCACATTTTCGATTCGTATACTTGCAAACTTGAGTCTAGGGATGTGCATGGATAACCATTTAATATGAATCAATCCATTTCTATGGTTATGATTTATGAATCAAACCACTTGTTCTGAACCGGTTTAAAACCGATTTTAAATGAATTTTAATTTTAATTCAAATTATTTAGTTAAACTTAAAATTAATTTTCTTTAAATTTTATCAATTTTTAAATTTAAATACTTAGATTTTAATATATTTTTTTTTAAAAAAATTTAAAAATTAAAAAAATTAAAAATAAAACTGAAAATAAAAATTTTAAAATAAAAAATTTCAGCAAATTATATGGACTTAAAATGGTAACTAATATGTTATAAAAAATACATATATTTGTATATTTCAAAATCTCTATCTATTGGTGGAGAAATCTATAATATTTATAATCATTTTTTCATAAAGGTTTAATGATCTTCGAGATTTATAAATGAAAACTAGAGTCAAATCCAACAAATTAAATTTTGGTATACTTTCTTGCACATGTTAAATCAAACTCGATCCACTAAGATCTATATAATTAACTACTGAAAGTTCATATAATTAACTGCTAAAAGTCTATATGATTTGTGAAGTATTAGTACACCATTTTAGGTTGTTAGAGAATTTGTAAACAAATTTTTTTTTCATTTTGAAATACAAAATTCTGAATTTTTTGTAAAATAATTTTTTTTATGAAATTCAAAAAAATTAACTTTAAGATAGTTCAAAGTATAAAATTGGTTTATAACGTGTATATGATAAACCATGAAAAGAGAAAAAAAACATATCAATTTAACAAATAATGAAATTTGGGTACCCAATAACTAAACCACATTATTATTATTATTATGAAAATCGGTTTATATTTGGATAACAAAATGGATAACCAAATTTATATTTTAATATTTGGTTTGGATTTTTAAAATTGGAACAATTTGGATACAAATTTAGTTAACAATAACCGATTTTTTTGCACACCCCTATTTGAGTCTTTTTCTCTTCCTTTTTATATATTATATTTATATTTTTCATTTGTTTTTGGTATTTTGATTGCAAGAGTAATCATGTGAAGAAATGGTGCGAAACAGCGAGAATGAAAAAAAAACCCAAGTTCTACACTGCCATGACACCCTCTTTGCTGTCATGATGTGGCAAAGGGAGGTCGTCAATGTTAGAACAAGATTTGTTCATGACATATTTTCTTTGGGTTTTAATGATAACAAAGTATTGAAAGAACAATGGTTTATTTGATATTTGTTACATGTATGCAGGTTTTTATACTTGTAAATATTATCATCAGAATCTGTTCTACATTAAGCACACTTTGAGAGTTGTTGCATTGCTAACTTCTGGTGGCAAAATCTGAAGAACACTTGATAAGTGATGTCTGGAAAAGACTTTGAAGTTGAATGCCTCAACATTAGAAGAACTAACGTTATTGTCTTTATGCTTAGTGAATGCAAATTAGCTTATGACACCATTCAAAGTTGTTGATAAAGCTAAAGTTGTCCGTACCACAGAAAGTAAGTTGTATTGTCAAATTAGTTTGTCAGCTAGAGTTTACAGATTGCAAGGCTTAAGAAAGGATGAGATGCTTTATGGATATCTACTCTCAACAGCTCTCATAGTACAAAATCTCTTGAAGACTTAAAGGTTAAACATGTTACACATTAGATTAAGATCTTCTGGTGTATCTATCTTCAACCGCTCTTGTACTATGAAGTAACAACAAAGACTCTTGATCAAGTTACCTCCTCAACAGCTAGTTTCTGAAAAGGCTATAAATATGGTCGAAGGATCAAACTGAATCTTTAACAAGAATCAACCAGAAGAAGGAGTAACAAGATCAGCAATTATCAACTCAATGCATATGCATATTTTTCTGATGTAGGTTATAATTGTAAAAGTCTTAATATTTCTTACACATTGTATATCTTAGAAATCTTAAGAGCTTTAGGTCTTTACTATGGTGATTTCCCGTACCTCTAATACTTGTATCATGTACACCTTGTTCTCTATTCTGCTGAGCTTATTCAACAGTTTAGATAAAAGTTTTGTCATTGGGATACAAGCAAGGAAGTCTCGAGCCAAGATACTTGAGCCACATAAGTCTCTTGCTATGTGCTTGAGCTGTGAAAGTCTTAATCAATGGATTTATTGAGCAGAAGTCTTGTATCATTGGGATACAAGCAAGGAAGTCTCGAGCTAAGATGCTTGAGCCACGTAAGTCTCTTGCTATGTGCTTGAGCAGTGAAAGTCTTAATCAAGTAGATTGATTAAGCAGGAAAGTCTTGAGCCAGTGTGGCTTGAGCATGATAGCTCGGTTCATGAAAGTGTAGTAGTAAGTCTTGGCCAAGGGTGGTGCAAGCGGATGCTCGTTTTATGGAACCTTAAGCAGAAGTCTTGAGCTTGAGGGGCTTGAGCTGGAATGCTCAGTACATGAAAGCCTAACAATAAGTCTTGGCCAGGGGTGAGACAAGCGAAAGCTCGTTTCATGGGACTTAGAGAAGAAGTCTTGGGTCTGAGGGCCTGAGAAAGGAAGTCTTGGGTTCGTGGAACTTGAGCAGGAAGTCTTGAGTGAAGAGCTTGAGCATAAGTCTAGGACCTTGGGTCTGAGCAAGTGTAAAAGACTTATGCAGAATGCATAAGCGATTGTAATCATGTTTTAATTATAGGGAAAATCTCTTATGAAGCAAGGAGACTGGACTACTCTCAGTTTGGGGAGGAACTAGTATAAATCTTTGTGTCTTCTACTATATTTATTTTCTTTTGTTCATATTCTGCTGCTAAGAATTAATCAGAATCTGAACACCAGTTTAGATTCTGAACTCTGATTAGATGCAAACTAAGAAAACGGTAAACACAATTCAATCCCCCTTTCTTGTGTACTTTTCTCACCTTCAATTGGTATCAGAGCATGGTCTGTGCATTACACTTAACAGTGATGCATATAATGATCCAATAAGAAAAGGTTATGGCATTATCAAGCTCTTTAGAGTGTCCAGAATCATCAAAGGCAGATAACTCAGCATTGCGTTCTTTTGGCTTTCGAGATCTTGGTTCGAAGCCTCTTGATCTTTCGCTCCCAGGAAGAAATATTTTGTTCATTGGAGGCAATCTCCTGCTTGTTCTTTTCTCTGTTTTCCTCCAATTCTTCCACCCTGTTCTCAGATTCAGTGACAAATGCCCAAGCGGCGACCTCGCTACCAGATTTGGTCGAAATGGCTTTTTCGATCTAAGGCATGCGCTTGAGATCCCCATAAACTTGGTCAATCACAGTACCAAGTTCTAGAATGATGGTGTCAGATTCAGGGGGAAACAACACGGATGTCTACTTGTTGAAGAAGATTCTTCAAAGAGATATGGGTAACGTGGTCCATCTGCAAAAGCGTGA